ACACACCAACATTGTCGTGGTGTATCTGTATTACATTGTCTTGCTGCATAATATCCGTTTGAATTACATCGTGGTCGAAATATACCTTCCATTGATTTATTCCAAAATACTTTATCCAAATCATGATTATATAATTCACAAGGTAACACTAAAAATAAAATATTTAAGCAAAACATTAAAAAAATAAAAATAAAAATTCATTAATTTTCATTTGAAAACTTACGAGCATATTGAAAACAATTACACCATTCATATGAAAATAATCGATGATCACCATCATGATCACATCGTTGAAAAAATATATCCGTACATAATTCATCTTTTAAATGTTCAATACTATTTAATTCATCATCATTTAATTGAGAATCATTTGTTATATCAAAATGATAAAACATATATGAAACAATTGGATGACAATTATCAATTGAACCTTAAGGATTTAAAATTTACATAAGAAATGTTTGTTTTTTTTTTTTTTCTTGTCAAAAAATTTTACCATAATATTGACTTTTATGTTCAAGTTTTTCTATTTGATGAAACCAATCAAAAAATCGATTACGTAATTCACGATGAAGTGATCGTGAACATTGATCAAATTCTAAATGAAAAACAAAATTGATTTGAATTTATAATCATGAATAACAAGTAACATTATTTTCTATATATTTTATATCAACAAAGACATACGTATTAGGGCTGTACCGCTCATGCTCACGTGAGGGATGATCGCTCACGTTCATTTGAGCGCACATGAGCGTGAGCGGTACAGCCCTACTCATATGAGCGTGTGCGACCATCCCTCACGTGAGCATGAGCGTCAGCGAAAAAGCGCTCACACTCATATCAGCGCTCATGAGCGTGAGCGGTGCAGCCCTAATACATATGATAATTTACTAACAATAAAATACTCTAATAATAATCAATTGATCACTCTCTTATATTGAATTGATTTGAAAATTGAATATAATAAATATGAAAGAAAGAATCCAACAAATATTATTTAAATCGATTGCTTTTTTCTAATCTTTACATTTGTAACAGTGGTCAAAAACAAAACAAAATCGATTATTCTTACGGCCTCTTGGATCATTTGGACTATCATCAGCTAATGGATCACTAAAAAAACAATAGTCAAAAATATATTTAATATTATTTATTAAATATCTTCTACTT